CTGAATGTTACTTTTGTAGACATTCTATCTATTAAACTTGCTATACCACGTGACTGGAAAAATTTGTTATTACAACAACACATGTCACCTAACAGCAACTCATTTGGATTCGTTTTTGAGAATGAGAATAAAAAAAAGCCTATCAGTAAATTATTTGCTAAGGATGTATATTCACTTTTTATCGATCGGGGAAGTATTTCTCCTATTTCACAACAAAGGTGGGAAGAAAGTTTTAATATAGAAATTAGTGACGAAAAATGGAAAAATATTTATTCACTAGCTTTTAAATGTACTATAGAAAGCAAACTACAAGCTTTCCAATATAAAATGTTACACAGAATAGTCTCACATAATTATCTTCTTGAAAAATATAAACTTTCCTTAACTAATGAATGTGCCAGTTGTAAAGAAATAGAAACTATAGAGCATAAATTTTTTGAATGTATAGAAACAAAACAGTTTTGGAGAGAATTTTCTAATTGGTGGTATTTAGTTTTTGGAGTAAAAATATTTTTGAATAAAGATAGTGTCATTTTTGGTATATTGAATTCTGATAACGTAGTTTTAAATTATTGTATTCTACAGGCAAAGTATTACATTAATTATGTAAAGAACACACAATTAGACAGACTGTTAATATCTGTGCAAGCTTTTCTTAAATTTTTGAAAAGACGTCTAGAGATATTAGAATATTTATATCTTTCTAAAGACAAACACGAGTCATTTGTCGACAGATGGGGGGGATTTATGGAAGTTATTTAATTAAATTTATTTTTAATCTGATTATATATTTAATGTATTCCAAAGTATTTTTTTTTTTTTTTTTTTTTTTTTTTTTTTTTTTTTTTTTTTTTTTTTTAAGATGTATCATATACTGAGTATTTACATCATCAACTTGTAAATTTTTTTTACTATGTCTTATTCGCATAATATCAATAGTATAACAATGCCATAAATGTCATGTCATTCACTTATGTCTTGTAAAAATGTATGTATGCACTGTAGTTTGAACACCAAAAAGATCAATAAAAAATAAAAAAAAGAAACAACTTTATAAGTGGGGAAATTACAAAAAATATAAAAATGTATATTAGTTCTTTAACGTGTACAATGTTTCAAAAATGAAATGTGGATGGGAAACTTCCTAAATTATCCTCTTCGTTTTCAAGTAAAATGCGCATAATACATGACATTCATTATTTTTGTTTTGTTTTGTTTTTGTTTTATTTTATGCATTTGCACCCATTATGTGCAAATTTGAAGTAGTTCTCAAAATATTTAGTTTCTGCATTATCGTCTACATTTACTCATTCCATACAGTCAAACTGGTTCCAATCTTTATTATTCGTGTTAATGACAAATAGGAGAAATTCAGGTTACCGTATTTTTAGACCCCCACATATGGTGCTAGGTGGTTTATCTGTGGGTTTTGTTCATTTAATTGATTTTCGAACTGTTATAATATCCTCATAACAAATATCAAAAAATATTTCGATCAATTTGAATTGTTTGTAAGTAACATCATGGAAGTACTGATTGAACTTAATCGATTTTTTTAGAAATTTACACCTTCTCAAATGATACAAACTAGATTGATCTACATGGACGAATAAGTATTCATTGTACATAAAGTGAGACCCGTGCCATATAGACTATTTTCATATTACCGACTTTTGACTCCGGATTATATAATTTGTCGACTGGTTACCTTGGACATCATGGTACCAAGTCAGGTAAGAGCAAGCTAAAGAAGTAAAACCAAGCGTTCAATCGGTACAATTCTGGGGAAATTACCTGCTTAACATTTTTTTTTCACTACAAAACCATCGGAAAACAATAAACTTTCCCCTCAAATTACACCGATTATATGTTTGATTTTGCTTATTTTGGTTGCTCTTTCTTGACCGAGTACCATGATGTCCATGGTAACCAGTCGACAAATTATATAATCCGGAGTCAAAAGTCGGTAATATGAAAATAGTCGATTGGCAATGACATGTTACATAGTTACGAACACGCGTATCGGTACTGAGAAGCCGAACTTTTAATGAAACATGTGTCAGTGTATCCCCAATTAAATAGCAACATATTGAGTTATTGTATGTACATCCTATATTAAAGTTTATATTCCTTTTTTTAACCAATCCTTAGCTTTGTCTTAAAAACTGTATCAAATTCACACAGTGAAGAAATTATGTCATCGTTTGTTTATTCAGCAAACATTATTAAATTTACCTCCAGTGTAAACATATTAGAAGAACTGCTGTATTTGAATAGCGAAAATTACATAACTTTTATTTAATCTTACTTACACATATATACCAGATCAAAGTCAAAGTAGCTTTAATAGTATACTAGTCCACAAGCATTGAAAATAAAATCAGCAGGTTAAAATGTATATACCATAGTAGCTAAATTACGTAAAGTATTATAGTTAGGTCAAGTTACGGTATATGGGTCACGTAAAAAGATTTTTGTCCAATACAGCTGCTATAAAACTTAAATTGAAAATCGAAAAAACTAACGCATTTATTTCTTTTTCTTTTATTATCTGAAATATTAATGAATAAATATGTGTCAGCTCTTTAAATCATCAAATCTCCAATTATCATTTCAAAGATTTTTCTTCAAAATTGATATCTTGTTGATACATACATTTCCGTTTGATTGATGGAAAATAATCATGCCTTTGGGGACAATGCACTTGTTTTTGATATACTAACCAATCTCTTACCTAGTTTGTAGCGAAAAACGTACAAAAAAATCGACATTTTCTGGCTTGCAACGCAATGAGGTTACGCTTATTTCGACATTGTGTGTTATTTTTTTCAACTAGATCACCACTTTCACTTATTTTATGAAAAACAAACGAAGTCTATGACCCTTTCATTATTTTACATCATTAAAACGGAAATTTATATATGAATAATGGTGTTTTTGGTACTTAATTGTCCCCATGGAATATCGCTCCTTTTTAATAAGGCCTCTAATTGGAGTTCGATTGATAGAACAGGAGCTGTTGAGTTATACTAAATCTTAAAATAAGATTAAATTGGTGATAGGCTTAAATTTTGAGGACAGAACAGGTGCTGATGAGTAAGACTAAATAGCTAAAATCGGAGTACAAAACAGGTGCTGATGAGTGATACTTGATCGCTGAAATTGGACTGATAGAACAGGTGCTGATGACTTATACTTGATAGTTAAAAAGCATTGATAGAACAGGTGCTGATGAGTTATCCTTGATAGCTAAAATCGCATTGATATAGCAGGTGCTGATGAGTAGTACTTGATTGCTATAATCGAATTGATTAAACATTTGATGATGAGTTATACTTGATAGCTAAAATTGGATTGTTAGAACAAGTGCTGATGAGTAGTACTTGTTTGCTATACCCGAATTGATTAAACATTTGATGATGAGTTATACTTGATAGCTAAAATTGCATTGATAGAACATGTGCTGATGACTCATACTTGATAGCTAAAATCGCATTGATAGAACAGGTGCTGATGAGTTCTACTCGATACGTAAAATCGTAGTACAGAACAGAATAAACCCAACTAGAACCTGGTTGATACCAGTTGATACCAAAAAACTACTTTAACACCTACAATGCTGTTGTTTTTATAGATTCGAAAATTCAGGAGTAAAAAAAAAAATGAAATAACAATAAAAACTGAGTTTGTCACAGAATGATATCCTAAATATAAGTTCAACGCATATTCGATCGCGCGTTATTACTACTATGTAAACGTGATATTAAAAAGTTTACAAAAACGATGTGGAAGATACAAAAGTGACATTCAATGCAAGACTCATAAGTCGAAGGGAAACTGACAACGTCATGACAAAAGAAAAAACGAAAGAGGACGAAAAGATTCACAAGTTCACAAAAAATAACATAGAAAACTTAAGACTGAACAATATGAACTTAACCAAAGACTAGGGATGAATTCAGTTGCTCCGGAAGAGTCATACTCCAGTAGTGGCACCTGTCATGTTTGTATCGAGTGAACCTATCGAAGAAACGAATATGGCGTGCACTGAATTATGATTTATTCATCTTTCTTACTGTCGTCACTGGTTCGGTACCGCTGCTGGTGAATTTTCATTCCTCGAGAGATTCCTTGTTTAAATTATACAATTTAACTTTTCAATCAGTAAATCAATCGTAGACAAATATCAGACCAAATGGTATGCACCATTTATTAACTAATGATATCCCCAACTTAAGTTGACAATCTATCAGGCAAAGTTGACATAGAGCTTTGGCTGTATTGTTTAAACACATTTGAATTTTAAATATAAAAAAAATAAGAAGATGTGGTAGTATTGCCAATGAGACAACTCGTGCATTACATACATGTGTATTGTTGGTCTCGAGCGAACCTATTCAAAAATAATTCCAGAAAGAATATGGCGAGCACAAAAATCTCTGTTATTCGTTTTACTTACTATCACTGGTTTAATACCGTAACAGCGTTGCTGTTGATATGTCAGTCCTCGAGGATTCCATGATTTGAATGCTACATTAGTACTGTTTAGGATTGTAGATAGTGTAGCTGTACTATGATAGACGTTAAAGTTCCCTCAGGCAAAGTTGACCCTATAAGGTTTCGATGTTGACCTACCCGAGTCAAATGAATAAAATGATACTAGTATATAAGTGTGGGCTGGCGTCTCGTGAGGTTAGCCGGGAATTTTCGGTACAACTATGGTATAATTTACAATGCACAATAAAACTACATTAAAAGTATAAAATATCTATAACTTATGCTGTTTCCGAAATTAATATTGTGATTGATTCACCATAAATATGTATCGCACAAGTTGAATGTTAAAGAACCCCATAAACTGTCTCAATTTCAGATTTTTCACTAAGTATGATTTCATTATCTGTGTCCTTGTACCCTTACATTGAAGGATATATCAACCTATTTTTTGCCAGTACAGGTGATAGCTTAGTATAAATAAAGGATTTATAGTTATTGGTTAGTGATTCACTAACAATACCTGTGTAAACGGACGATTATTGACAGTTTAGAGTAAATATTTGTATTTCAGCTTCAATTTAGTTTACATAAAGGGTTTATAATTGCTATTTGAAACAGGTTTACGTACAACGAAAGCAAACTAGTTTCTAACAAGCCTTCAGTCAGTTTTACGTTTTAATTTTGCTGCAACAGCATAAAAATGGCACAATTTATCGGAAAATGGAAAGGAGATGGAAGCTCATACACAAATTATGATGCATTTGCAAAAGCGTCAGGTTAGTCAACACTTTATATGTACCGGCATATGTATATTAAGATTATCTTCACGTCTTGATAGAGACGTGTTCAACTTTCTAACACACGTGTCTGAAAGGGTTCCCTTTGATGGATATAGTTACCCAATAATATTTTAATATGATAATCTATTTTATTTTCAAGATGCATTAATAGAGCGAGTATCTATAAAGTTAACGAACGATACTTAATTTATTTCCTTTTAATATAAAATATTTAATTATATATTAATTCAACTGCGGTACTTTTTGCTTTGTTCGTTTTTTTTTTATTTGATAGTATTTTCATGTTTTCAAACCAAACAAACGAATAGAAAAAGAAAAAAGGAAAGAAATGGAAAAACTTGTTCAATACTGTTTACACAGGTTTTGCTATACGAATCAAAGAAGATTTGGAATATATGTAAAAAAAAAAAAAAAGAAAAACAATCCCCACCCACCCCACTCCCTAAAAATCAAACCAAATTAAGAGATCTACGTATTACGGCCACAGAGTGATGCTATATTGGCATCAACGCAATCGAAGAAAAAATGTACTTGCACGCAATATGTTGTGTCATATCTAAAATGTGCAACATGTGTACAATAGGTGTCTATAAAAAATGGCAAAATTGAGTGAAAAATTAATTTTACATTTAGGAATTTGATTGTGATATTGATACGATAGTGATGGTATGTGGTACATAATATACCATTGAATTGTCCTGGCCAAAATTTCCTTTTTTTTTTAATTATTCATTCATTCATTCATTTATTTTTATTTCCATTTGTGTTTATTTATTTTTTTTGTGTCTAAGTATGTTTCCGGTTTCCTTCGTCCATGTAAAACAATATAGCTGTTATGAATGTGTTTAGTAAAATTCATGTAAATTATTTCGGAAATAAGGATTTGTTGAATTACATTTATATGTTTTGGTAATTTTATATTTTTGATTTTGTTGGTTCAATTTCATAATACAGTGCAAAGCAGCCTCGGTATGATATCATTGTATGTGCATTGTTAACTTTATTCGTTATATGGAATAATCATGTGCTTACTTTTCCTTTTGGAAAGGGGTCGATGTGGCTTATTCCCTCTCCATTTGAAGCTTGCTCGCTATAATGCTCTTCGGTTACTCATTTGTATTTCGAAGAACAGCTAGGAGAGTACACTTTGCTGGAAAGTTTACAGATTTTATTGGCATCCACTTTGTACAATATGATCAACACAGTAGTCGAAAAACAAAGTCAATAATTATATTATGAAATGAATGTATAAGAATACAAATTTAAAGCTTGGTACCATGCAAAATGGAATAAATATTGAAATACAATGTACAATATTAATACCAAGTTCCACGTTTTACCGTAAGAGAACTAAAATTGAGAAATATAATATTAAAACGAACTTGAATTTATTTTCAGTATTTGTTACACTATTGCTTACATATAAGAACGGATTTCAGTCTTTAAAGCTGATTAGCGTCATTTAAAATCATTGGATATTTAATACAAAATACATTTAATAATCAAAATAAAATGAATGCGTTTGATATAGAATATAAATTAAAGCAAAAAATTATGACAAAATGAAAATATATGTCTCTGATAAAAAATTTTAAAATCGTGGAGTTGAAGGTTTGTATTGTCATTAATACAGAATGCATTAAGTTTTAACTTTGCCGGATTGTAAATCAAATACTGTAAAAAGATATTAAAGATGTCCCCTTTATAGAATATTTTTAAGTCTTGATTTATTTTGATAAATTTCAATAATATAAATTCATTTACAAGTATCTTATACTCATCGAATGCATGTGGTTAACGCGGTCACTCCGGTTTCCTTTTCCGATATTACTACCCGCTGCGTGTATAAAATGACTTAAAACTCCTATCAAACAAAATAACAGTCAGTTTTCATATGAGCGTCATTTGATTTCAATAAATGATCAAAATTTGAATTTCAGGCATCCCTGACGACTTAGTGGAGAAATTCCGTACTGCCACCACTGAAATGGAATTCAAAAAGGATGGTGATTTTATGCTTTGCGACGTAAAGACTAGTGCTGGTCCAGATAAAACTTATAGATTTAAATCTGGAGAGGAAGTGTCAACGACAGACCCTTGGGGAAAAGCAGTGAAGGTTGTTTGATTATAGTTATCTGCATACTACTAGACTGTATATAACATATTGGACTTTAACTGAAACCCACATTTTTATCATTCGTTCAGTTCAACTGATAAATTTCAAGACATCGATTCTAGATCTCCATATTAAGATGATTGATTTCTAGGCGAGAAGTTTAATTATATATTCACAATTCAAAACTCCAACATAGCCTAGTGATTGAATATTTGAAAAGTAAATAAGCAAAAGTGTAGAAAAATCAATTTGTTAATACGACAAAGATACAGCTACATGAAAAACAATAAGCGTTTATTAACTTTTTCTTCACACCACTTTACAGTAGATCGAGTTTTCGTTACTTTGTCCAATGTACTGGTAAAACAATGAGCAAATACAACGTAATGATTGCAGATGCCCCTCCTTGAGTTGTTTTACACATGTTTAAATGTCGATAAATTTGTTGGCACGCCATATTCAATTTGTCCACTCTAAAATTGGAACATTTCAGAGTCCTTTTTTTATCCCTCATTATATTTACAAATTTTCATTAGACTTGTTAAACTGATTGGAATTTTTGTTTCAGTTCACAATTACCCGCGAGTCTGATACAAAAATGGTAGAGGTAAACAAATCGGAGATGATGGATTGGAAAGAAATGAAGATGACACGAGAAATCCTAGGAGGAAATAAAATATTAGAGGTAAATTAATTATGTTTAACATCAGTGATGAAGATGGTTATTCTGGAAACAATTATGGACATGAAATAAAATTGCATAACAGGTACACAAAAAAATAAATAAAGACACTTAAAAAGTGTCTGACTCTCTGATTAAATATCACAGGGCTCTACAATAGAGAGATACGCTTATCGTCAGTTTAAATAATCAAGTGCATGTTTGTTTAATGATAAGTATAGTACACTGGATAATCTGATAAGGAAACTTCGCCGACAACTCTAATCGTTTATTTATTGTGAGGGTATACATGTAAGAGAAATGATATCACTGCGAGCAAAAAAGGAGACAAAAAAGAGACTAAAAAATAAAAAAGGAAAGCACTGCTCTGATTTGTTCTTTGCACGAATAAAAAGAAATATTTGGTTAAGCAATTAACAGTGATACAGCTATCTTCGTTGTCGTTCTTCCGTAGCTAGGAGACACTTACATATTTATCATGATCGGAAAAGCCCGATCCTACTAGTTGTAAAACAATTAAACTGGAGTTAAATTAATCTTTTGAAATTTTATGGTGAAAAGCATGCTTATACGCTTTTCTTATGGCAGATTAGATAAAGATGGGAATTAGTGAATATATCCATTTTCTTCGTCATCATTAAGCCTCTAAGTGCAAAGAGAACATGCACACAGGTATAACATTTTATTTGCGAAAAACAATGTATGTTGTTTAACTTTCGAAAAGGGGCAAGTTTAAAAAAAAAATTAACTACCACACGTATACATCTGCGAGCAAATCGTTCTTTTTATGTATCAAGTATTTCTTTATTTCAGACAGCAGAGTTGCCTTGTGGCACTAAAATGACAATGGAGTTTTCAAAAGTTTAATGGAAAGACTTAACATTGTGGATGAATACAGTTTATATATATGCTTCAATTTCAAAATTGTTGATACTTTGTAAGACTAAGTGTTTATTTTCTGCATTTGCCTCTAGTACACCAACATTGTAGATTGTGTTATGCATTCATATCAAATACATTAGGTTCACCAAAAAACTGTTGTAATAGGACTTAATAGTTGATCGCAATACATTGCATTGCCAGACAACAGTCAACATAGTTGTAATATATTCAATAGAAGAATCAACTACTAAAAAAAGGAAAAAAAGGATACGGAACAACAGACATGGTTTCAACTCCTGCAGTACCATTAACTTATTGGCATTTTATCATGTTTATACAATGAAATAAATATCATCTAAATATGTATAAGTTCTACGTTTTTTATTTGATAATCATAATTCATATTTACATATATATATAAATATAAAAGTGAGGAGATGTGCTATGACTGCCAATGAGACAACTATTAGTGGCAGAAAGCAATTATAGGCTACCGTAAGGCCATCAACAATGGGAAAACTCCATAACGTAATTTATAAGAAATCAGTTTACGAATACAAATATGACAGACATGAACCAACGACAACCAGAGTACTGTCACAGTGTCCTTTTTAAGTCATGATATATATATATATATATATGAATTCAATTTACTTTTAACAAAGGATCACTACAAACTTATATCTAGATAATGAGATACTGACACACATTTGCAAATTTTACTTTCTTGAGCAATTCCATACATGTGTATATTAGATAACCTTTGTTGTATGTACGACTCCATGTACTCGTGTCAATAAAACGACGGTTGTTAGATCACTTATTCGTTCGCCTGCTTTAACGTAGAGATGTCCCATGCTATAGGTGAGTTAACATAAGTTAATGAAAAAGATGAATGATTTCACGAAAGAAATGGAAGCATTTTACTTATATTCTTAATAAATGAAATATAGACCGAATATATCCAACTCTGCAAACAAATAAGTCCTATTACCCTCATTCCACAGCGGATGATTTGGAAAAATCCTGAATTCATACACGTGTGATACATATCCTTTTCTTTATAATATGTACAATAATCAATTTCGTTTGTACCTAGACCTGACCGTAGAAGCAAGACGTGGTACACATAGTAGAAGGAGCAGACCCTATCGATGAAATATTACTTTAGGAATAAAACCCGTAATTCATAACCCCATTGCTCAATATGTTAAATTATGCAAGTTCAAGCATTTATAGCTATTTTCTGTTAGTTCATATAAAGTGGCAATCATTTCATAGCAAAAACTATACCCTATCCTGACTTGTGCTGAAAAAAATCAACATACCTTAAATTGCATATTAGAGCGCACTGGTTCCCGGAATTTGAGTAATACAGACACAGGTACTTCTGATCTGTGCAACAGAGCAAATATGCCCTTCAATCATAATTTCATATATTTTTTTAATTTTTTGAGAGAAACTTTCAACAAGGGTTCTACAGTAATCCCAAGTTTCTATGTTTTACCTTTTGGCAAAGTTAAAGCTATGCGTTGGAGCTGTTTTGTTTAAAATATGTACTGTTGTCTTGTATTTTCTTTGTAACCGGATCCGAATTAGTGGTTCTATACCTGCACGAGGTTCGGTCAATGAAAAAAAGGAAAATACATAAACATTTTGTGAATGATAAGGCAAATAAGTGTCAGCAGTTACGTTAAGGGGAAACTGGAAAAGGCGAGCAATACACAAATGAGGGAAACCAAAAGTATTGGTAGGACGTATGATTATAGACAACCCTTTAGACTGCTTGAAGGGATTCAAACCGTCAAAACGAAAAAAAAAAAAAAAAAAAACACAAGAAAAAACCTTTGAAACTAAAAGTAATAAAAAGAGAAAAAAGCAAAATACGTAACACAAAAAAAAAACCAAACAATAATAAACATAAACGAATTCACAACTAAAAGATACACACAATATCACAAACAAATAAAAAGGGATTGCATGTGTTTAAGTAATTATTCATTGCTTGATTCACTTTATTAATTTATTTCGCCCAAGCGCCATGATGGCACGAGTTCTTGGAAAAATTGTGCCTGAAATATATGTACCAAATTCACATTTAGTGGATACAAAATTAATCATGTCCGTCAAATAGTGTCGTGTACAAACATTTCATCATTTGCTACTTGGCGTTAACCAAGCAACAATTAATCAAGTAATCAATCAATCAATCAATCGAAGTCAGAGTGTGAACATTTTATGAAAGAGATCCCCATCCCCTATACAGGGCGAACACCACAGTTTATTATAATTACTTCGTATGTACATTTGTAATTATCAGTCAACAATGTTAAATCTGCAAATTTGCGATAACAAATTTTGCTCTTCATTTATGGGATTCGAAACTTGTTTTCTGTGCCGATATCGTGGCAACACCGCTTGCACCATGTTTGTAAAAAGTAAGTAAATTTTATTTAAAGTCGGCATATATATACATAATAACAGATAAAACATGAGCTCTGGTGAGCTCTTTAACCGACAAATTTTCGTAAAAGCACTGAAAAATGTTTTCAAAATGTATACTTTCAAACACATCCAAACGTACCCAGCTATGGTGTGTCTATTTTGTTTTCTTTAAATTTCATATACATTTCTAGGTCTTTCTAGGTCATTATTATATCTGCCATTGTTAGTATTCTTCTTTTAAAAGCAGATTTGCCAGATTTTTATAAACATACAATGTACGCTGCTGGTGATTTAGTTCGCAGTATAACTGGGTAATGCAACGCTCAAATGTTTATACTTTACAATTACATGTAATCACATTTCTATATATGTATACTTTATGTTCTTTTCCCTAAATATATCATTCGTTGGTAACTGTTACTCATTGGCATGTCGGGTGACGCACACGAAGCAAGATAATTATCCATATATATATAGCCTTCCAATTCTATCTATGTAGAAACGTAAACTGCATGGCGGACATTTAGAGACATTTCGATATCAGTTTTAGATGAAATTGCCCAAGTAAAAGAAATAAGGATTGAAAATAAAACAGAACCCTGGTCAATATATATCACGTTCGTCCATAGTTTCTGACGATCATTTTCTATCTCAAGCGAGAAGCATGATATGAAAAATTATCACAAATAAAGATCAAAGGAAAAATACACAAAATAGCGATAAACATAATTATCCTCATTAACATTATACGTCTATACCAAGCAAATCTATGTTTAACCCTGTCACATTCTTTGTGTGCCTGTCCCAAGTCAGGAGCCTGTAGTTCAGTGGTTGTCGTTAATTCATGACTGTCATATTTTTTTTTCGTAAATTGTATTGTATATTATATAAATTAGACCGTTAGTTTTCTCGTTTGAATTGTTTCATATTTTTCATGCCGGATCTTTAACAGTCGATTTTGAATTTATTCACTGGCTGCTTTTTAAGATTTGGAGCGATTAAGGACTTGAATAAACATTATGTTGACTTCTAATGGTCATTTTAGTTATTTCAAAATGATTGGATAGCCGTCCATTTAAATTTGATCTTCGTGTAAATTGAGCATCGATGGCTAATTTACCTAGTATGACTAGTTTTGGATAAGTTTATTATACATATATAACAATAATGAGCTGTGGTATAATTGTCAATGATACAGGTTTGAACTATCCACCAGAGTTCAAATGATGAAGATAAAAGCAACTATAGGTAGGTCACCTAACGATCTTCAACAACTTGAATGAGAAAAATTCATATAGTATAGTCGGATATAAAAGGCCCCACATAAAACCTAATTCCCCGGTGATTCCAGAGCCGGCGGTGCATTTAACAAAAACAAAATAATAAACAGTTTAATTATCATGCAACGATGAAATATTTAAAGGACAATTTTTAAATATTTCGAATTTCCCCATAACGTTTCGTTTTGTTTTTTTTGGTGTTTAGTTACGGTATATATTTTTTGTTCGTTCGTGCATCTGTTTCAAGTTTCTTTGAATTAATTTTATAACCCAATTTTGTGTCGTCCTCTGGATTTCGATTGATTCTACGTATAGTAATAGTTGGCAGTGTGAAAGTTATGCCAATGTCTCTCCAACTACTGGAAGAATTCCATGTTCTCCTAATAAAGGAGGGATTTACAGAAGGAAATAGGTAACATTCATAAACATTCATACCTGCGTTACACTTCCTCACTCTTCAATCCCCCGATTCTGTCTCCGTTTTGTGTAGCTGCACTAAAATGTTTAAGCGAAAAGCATATTTGGACCACCCAGGTATACAGACAGTTGATTTACCTGACAGTGTGTCTAATTGGGAAAGATATAATCTTGAAGACCTGAACATTTTTTATGCAGAAGACTTTGCTAAGGACCCATTAGAAATACTAAAACAGATAAAAACTCTGACAGATTTCGACGAAGATCAACTATCGTATATTCATTCTGTGCAGGACTGGTTGAAGTTTGATGCATCAGTGTTAAAGTTGAAGTTTCAAAGATCAGTGGTTGAGTCAACAATTTCTTTATTATATGAGAAATTAACAAAAGAACCAAACATGTAAGCATCACATGTACACGTTTCAGCGAAAAGTTCCAAAGAGCTTATTTTATTTTCTTTAAAAATCCTAGTAACATGTACATGTAGTAAACTTCTGAAAATAAACTTGGCAAGTAATAAATAAATCATAAAACTTCTTAACATTACAATAACATAAAAACAATATATTACTGGAGATCAGGAAAATTTATGTTCAGTGGGTATATGTATCAAAAACCACTTTCACTGTTAACATTGTTAATAATTGACTAAGAATTATTAGTGTAATTAAAATTAACCATAATAAACAACATTTTATGGTCTATAACAGAAATAGACCAATTTTTAAGCCTTCAAGGCTCTATAAGACTTGAATAGACTTTTACAGACTCTGTTCAGAAGTACCCTGTATCAAACACATGTCAAAATAAAACTTTCCAATTCCTATCACACTGAGAAAGTGGTTTTGGTCATCCTAATCTTGCATTCAATTCCAAGTTTAGTCAAACCAAAGACTTGAATTTTGGTATTTGATGCTTAGCTACAAAGCAAGCTGCAGTAAGCATGTTCATGATGGTTAGGAGTATCAGATCAAAGAAGGTATGGTAGGAGTCAAGATAATGTGTCAGACATGTCAGAGAAGGGTGACATGTCTTCCTATGTTATATGGTACACTGCATGAACTAAGTGTACATGTAGCGTGTTGGTCTGGTACAAAGCAGGGTTAATATTCAACATACATGTACATATCATAATTTTTTTGTTCTGATATGAATGTAATATTTGCCACTGGATTTTAAACATCAACCCATATATTTATATGGGAATATTGAGATAGTGGTTAGAAGCCATTTTTTATGCATCTGCCTTGTTTTTAACAGATTTCTACATGTACTGAAAAAATAGAACCACTCTCACATTTTCTCAAGTCTTTTCTAATTTGAATCTCTAACTTCTGAAAAGCTTTGGTCAAGAGACATTACACAGAGCACATGTTATTGATCTCAAATACAAATAGACATGTATGTCCAACTTTTTGACGTAATCATTCATGTACAATGTATGTCTTGTGTGTGTATAATAAGATAATGCAAATTAGACCTGAAAAATGGCGTCATCTCAAACTTCCATATTTGTTCTTCTCATGATACATGATGTATTTACACATGACATGCTCCAAATTTTTTTGAATATATTTTTAAAGCAATTATCATGATTATAAAGCTATAAAGATGTATTTTTTTACACCTCTTATGCATCTCCTTTCAGTCTGCATATCTTTGTCATAACTTTTCAACAATTATAAACCATAGATTCTTTGTAGTTACCAAGTTTAATCTCTGCTAACTTTACTGGCCCGAGAACACAGTTATTTGGTAGTGCATTTCTTTTAGATAATAAATTCAAATTAAAAAAATCGCACCTGCTCTATCTCAAACTTTTTTTTACAGTGTAGTGTACTACTATTGATACAAATAATATCAAAATTATAGGAACTTCTACCAGCTCTAACTCAAAATATTGACAATTCTGTGTTAAGGGGGGCTAAAATTCAGTTTGACAGCTTCAGACATTCTAATTTTTGACCTTTTTTAACTGGACCAAATCACTACTTAACATAAAGATTCAGCACCCAAATTTTGTTAACATGTAATTTCATCCCCTTACTTAATATTTCATGCATAAAATATCAAGAAATAAATTGGAAAAGTGTATTTAAAAAAAATGCAAGTTATACAATGTTCACACTAGGGACTATATTCATAGACAACGAAAACCTGAGGACGATAACTATGTCCTTGGACCTAATAGGATAGAAAGACTTGACCAATTTTAATAAAACTTTGCATGACCTAAGCTTAGGAAATTATAAGATAGTTGGCCAAGTTTCATGGCCATAGGATATATTATAGAAACTAGGGCCATTTTAATATTGAAATTTGGATGTTTATTTTTGACGTTTAAATCAAATATTTTCAACTGTCAAGATTTTGGCCTAAAAAATTTAAATATTGCAAAAATTTGCTTTTTAAATACTCTTGAATATAATATAATAAGTATTAAAAGCAACGGAACACTCATTTGATTTATCAGATTTATCACAGTTATTCAAAAGTCAAATTTATATGAGCCTGTGCCTGAAAATAGAGATTTTCGAATTAAGGGAAGCCTTACATAAGCATGCATTTTTTTCAACCAATTTGAAGTTTTTTAACCATACATTATTCTTCAATATATATTAAATGTACTTTAAATGTAAAGAAAAGTTACAAAAAGCATACCACATGAGTATAAAATGGTCTTAGGCCATGTAAGACTGAGAATTATTTAGAGTCGATTTAGGCCGTAGCCCATATTTACATATAAAAATGCACACATACATTTGACAGAGGCTATAAGAAATGGAAATTTCTTACTTTTTGCTCATTTCTATGCTAAGATGTTATAATTCAAGAAGTCTTATTGCAAAAGGACTCTTGAATTCAAATTTTTGTTTGCAGACAGTATGGTCTGTTGACCAGTTTTTCACTTTTCAATGGAAAACTTGCATGTAGTTTTAGTCTCAATTGGCATATATTTGAACCACTTACTATCCTAAAGAAGAAAATTATGGTAGCATATGAAATGAATAGGGTGTACTGATCATTGTAAAGTGTTTTTTTTACAGATTTAGTGAAATATTTGTGATGGACTACAGATTTTATGTACAAAGCTCTTCACATTTCACATACATCAAACAGCCCGTTTAACCAGGGACAAAAATACAAATATTCTGCACATTTTTTCTGTGATAATCTACTTTTCTCTAGATTCAGAGTTCACAAATGGTTAATTAAATTTGATTTAAGCATAGAAACACAAATATCAGGAACATAAAAAGCTGTCAGATAGAAAGTCAGCATGGCTCTTAGGCATAAAATGGAAACTGCTTTAAAATTCTTATTTTAGCCGTATAATGCCAAAATGGGACAATTTAACAGAATTTCTGTCAAACAAAGATGTAAATCCTTTACTTTTATTGAGTTTGACAAATTGAAACCAGCAAACCATTCAGGAAAGTTTCCAAAGTACAGAATCTACATTTACAGAATTCGTCTCTTTGGCCTTAGAACACAGTTATTTGGTAGTGCATTTCTTTTAGATAATAAATTCAAATTAAAAAAATCGCACCTGCTCTATCTCAAACTTTTTTTTACAGTGTAGTGTACTACTATTGATACAAATAATATCAAAATTATAGGAACTTCTACCAGCTCTAACTCAAAATATTGACAATTCTGTGTTAAGGGGGGCTAAAATTCAGTTTGACAGCTTCAGACATTCTAATTTTTGACCTTTTTTAACTGGACCAAATCACTACTTAACATAAAGATTCAGCACCCAAATTTTGTTAACATGTAATTTCATCCCCTTACTTAATATTTCATGCATAAAATATCAAGAAATAAATTGGAAAAGTGTATTTAAAAAAAATGCAAGTTATACAATGTTCACACTAGGGACTATATTCATAGACAACGAAAACCTGAGGACGATAACTATGTCCTTGGACCTAATAGGATAGAAAGACTTGACCAATTTTAATAAAACTTTGCATGACCTAAGCTTAGGAAATTATAAGATAGTTGGCCAAGTTTCATGGCCATAGGATATATTATAGAAACTAGGGCCATTTTAATATTGAAATTTGGATGTTTATTTTTGACGTTTAAATCAAATATTTTCAACTGTCAAGATTTTGGCCTAAAAAATTTAAATATTGCAAAAATTTGCTTTTTAAATACTCTTGAATATAATATAATAAGTATTAAAAGCAACGGAACACTCATTTGATTTATCAGATTTATCACAGTTATTCAAAAGTCAAATTTATATGAGCCTGTGCCTGAAAATAGAGATTTTCGAATTAAGGGAAGCCTTACATAAGCATGCATTTTTTTCAACCAATTTGAAGTTTTTTAACCATACATTATTCTTCAATATATATTAAATGTACTTTAAATGTAAAGAAAAGTTACAAAAAGCATACCACATGAGTATAAAATGGTCTTAGGCCATGTAAGACTGAGAATTATTTAGAGTCGATTTAGGCCGTAGCCCATATTTACATATAAAAATGCACACATACATTTGACAGAGGCTATAAGAAATGGAAATTTCTTACTTTTTGCTCATTTCTATGCTAAGATGTTATAATTCAAGAAGTCTTATTGCAAAAGGACTCTTGAATTCAAATTTTTGTTTGCAGACAGTATGGTCTGTTGACCAGTTTTTCACTTTTCAATGGAAAACTTGCATGTAGTTTTAGTCTCAATTGGCATATATTTGAACCACTTACTATCCTAAAGAAGAAAATTATGGTAGCATATGAAATGAATAGGGTGTACTGATCATTGTAAAGTGTTTTTTTTACAGATTTAGTGAAATATTTGTGATGGACTACAGATTTTATGTACAAAGCTCTTCACATTTCACATACATCAAACAGCCCGTTTAACCAGGGACAAAAATACAAATATTCTGCACATTTTTTCTGTGATAATCTACTTTTCTCTAGATTCAGAGTTCACAAATGGTTAATTAAATTTGATTTAAGCATAGAAACACAAATATCAGGAACATAAAAAGCTGTCAGATAGAAAGTCAGCATGGCTCTTAGGCATAAAATGGAAACTGCTTTAAAATTCTTATTTTAGCCGTATAATGCCAAAATGGGACATTTTAACAGAATTTCTGTCAAACAAAGATGTAAATCCTTTACTTTTATTGAGTTTGACAAATTGAAACCAGCAAACCATTCAGGAAAGTTTCCAAAGTACAGAATCTACATTTACAGAATTCGTCTCTTTGGCCTTAGAACACAGTTATTTGGTAGTGCATTTCTTTTAGATAATAAATTCAAATTAAAAAAATCGCACCTGCTCTATCTCAAACTTTTTTTTACAGTGTAGTGTACTACTATTGATACAAATAATATCAAAATTATAGGAACTTCTACCAGCTCTAACTCAAAATATTGACAATTCTGTGTTAAGGGGGGCTAAAATTCAGTTTGACAGCTTCAGACATTCTAATTTTTGACCTTTTTTAACTGAACCAAATCACTACTTAACATAAAGATTCAGCACCCAAATTTTGTTAACATGTAATTTCATCCCCTTACTTAATATTTCATGCATAAAATATCAAGAAATAAATTGGAAAAGTGTATTTAAAAAAAATGCAAGTTATACAATGTTCACACTAGGGACTATATTCGTAGACAACGAAAACCTGAGGACGATAACTATGTCCTTGGACCTAATAGGATAGAAAGACTTGACCAATTTTAATAAAACTTTGCATGACCTAAGCTTAGGAAATTATAAGATAGTTGGCCAAGTTTCATGGCCATAGGATATATTATAGAAACTAGGGCCATTTTAATATTGAAATTTGGATGTTTATTTTTGACGTTTAAATCAAATATTTTCAACTGTCAAGATTTTGGCCTAAAAAATTTAAATATTGCAAAAATTTGCTTTTTAAATACTCTTGAATATAATATAATAAGTATTAAAAGCAACGGAACACTCATTTGATTTATCAGATTTATCACAGTTATTCAAAAGTCAAATTTATATGAGCCTGTGCCTGAAAATAGAGATTTTCGAATTAAGGGAAGCCTTACATAAGCATGCATTTTTTTCAACCAATTTGAAGTTTTTTAACCATACATTATTCTTCAATATATATTAAATGTACTTTAAATGTAAAGAAAAGTTACAAAAAGCATACCACATGAGTATAAAATGGTCTTAGGCCATGTAAGACTGAGAATTATTTAGAGTCGATTTAGGCCGTAGCCCATATTTACATATAAAAATGCACACATACATTTGACAGAGGCTATAAGAAATGGAAATTTCTTACTTTTTGCTCATTTCTATGCTAAGATGTTATAATTCAAGAAGTCTTATTGCAAAAGGACTCTTGAATTCAAATTTTTGTTTGCAGACAGTATGGTCTGTTGACCAGTTTTTCACTTTTCAATGGAAAACTTGCATGTAGTTTTAGTCTCAATTGGCATATATTTGAACCACTTACTATCCTAAAGAAGAAAATTATGGTAGCATATGAAATGAATAGGGTGTACTGATCATTGTAAAGTGTTTTTTTTACAGATTTAGTGAAATATTTGTGATGGACTACAGATTTTATGTACAAAGCTCTTCACATTTCACATACATCAAACAGCCCGTTTAACCAGGGACAAAAATACAAATATTCTGCACATTTTTTCTGTGATAATCTACTTTTCTCTAGATTCAGAGTTCACAAATGGTTAATTAAATTTGATTTAAGCATAGAAACACAAATATCAGGAACATAAAAAGCTGTCAGATAGAAAGTCAGCATGGCTCTTAGGCATAAAATGGAAACTGCTTTAAAATTCTTATTTTAGCCGTATAATGCCAAAATGGGACATTTTAACAGAATTTCTGTCAAACAAAGATGTAAATCCTTTACTTTTATTGAGTTTGACAAATTGAAACCAGCAAACCATTCAGGAAAGTTTCCAAAGTACAGAATCTACATTTACAGAATTCGTCTCTTTGGCCTTAGAACACAGTTATTTGGTAGTGCATTTCTTTTAGATAATAAATTCAAATTAAAAAAATCACACCTGCTCTATCTCAAAAAGATTTTTACAGTGTAGTGTACTACTATTGATACAAATAATATCAAAATTATAGAAACTTCTACCGGCTCTAACTCAAAATATTGACAATTCTGTGTTAAGGGGGGCTAAAATTCAGTTTGACAGCTTCAGACATTCTAATTTTTGACCTTTTTTAACTGAACCAAATCACTACTTAACATAAAGATTCAGCACCCAAATTTTGTTAACATGTAATTTCATCCCCTTACTTAATATTTCATGCATAAAATATCAAGAAATAAATTGGAAAAGTGTATCAAAAAAAAAATGCAAGTTATACACTGTTCACACTAGGGACTATATTCGTAGACAACGAAAACCTGAGGACGATAACTATGTCCTTGGACCTACTGTATAACATGTTTCAGATTCCTGGTTTTTCTACATCTACAATGCTAATACATATATTTGTTTCTTTCATGTTCACTTGTAGGGTAATTACCATGAAAGAAGCTTTTGTTATACAGAAAGTAAAGCGATTTACTGCTGCTTATGACAGACTTCTATCTGAAATACAAGACCATCACAGACTATTGAAATCATATGAAGGAGTTTACTCACGATTTATTTGTGGATTTGCAGATTTATGTTGTCTAGAAACAGTGTAAGTATCTTGGCTGGAGTGTCTTTCATATAATATAAAAATAAAGAGACATACATGGTATGATTGCCAATGATACAACTGTTAACCAGAGACCAAAAGACCTGGATGTAAGCAACAAGTATTAGTTCATTTGACTAATTTGACTAAAACCCTAAACAATCATGGTTTAAGAAAGATTTGAGGATGTCTTTCTTTGTGTGTAGATACATGTACATCCTTATTCTTCTTTGTGTGTAGATACATGCATGACATGTACATCCTCATTCTCTATATACATGTAGCTATATATGTTAGGCCATAATAAAAAAAATCTTAGATTGCCATCCCCCATACATGTATGCATATTCTTAAAAATTTTATGTACATGTATCATTGAAAAAAGGTGAGGGTTTTATTTTCTATTTAAGGAATATTTCTAAAACTGAGCAAACAACATGGACAAATTTGAGAGGAAAGACAGTCAGATCAGAAGCAGATTTCCATTTCTTCAAGCTTGGACTTCAACAGGAAAGAACAGATACATGTGTTTCAATTGTCAAGGTACAAAAAAATTAATAAATTGTACACTCTGTCCTATAGTCATGATAATAAATCAGTTTTCTCTCCAGTATTTCAAATAACACTACGGTGGCCATGTAGTCTAAGTAGTCCAACTACTGTAGCAATAGCCTATCAACACTGAGGTTGTGAGTTGGAATTTTGCATGTGGCAGGTGTGTTCGACTCCATTTTTAATTGACTAGGATTGTCAGTTTTCCTACCAGAGGTTGGTGGTTCTCTCCTGCACTCCAGCTTCCTCCACCAATAAAAACTGACCGCCACATAATAGTCAATAGTGCTGAATGTGGCGTTAAACACCAATCAATCAATTATAAGAACTTGGAAAGGGAAGCTAATTTTTCCTGTGTTAGAGAAATATATTTAAACAAATCCTTAAATCATATATCTCTTCAAGAAAGAAGGTGTGTTTAGGTAAAAACAAAAAAAAGGCTTATACTTGATTTTGTCTTTTAAAACCCATATTAATATAAAAATAAGGAGATATGGTATGATTGCCAATGAGACAACTATCCATCAGAGTTCAAATGAAGTGGAGGTTATCAATTAAAGGCAACTGTACAGCCTTCAACACTTGAGAAAAACCATTCCATACTGTCAGCTATAAAAGACACCAACATGAAAAATGTGAAACAAATCAAAAGAGGACACCAACTGCCTAATTTATAAAAAAACAATTTACGAAAAAAATAAACATGACAGACACGAACCAATTACAATCCCTAAAGTACACGCTCCTGACTTAGGACAGGCACATGAAGAATGTGGTGGGGTAAAATTATGTTCCTGCATGAGCGCTCAACCCTTCCCTAACCTGAAACAGTGGTGTAAGATTGTTATGTAAACATTTAAATAGATTATTACAGGATAAAACCTTTTGTTTTATGCAGGTAAAGAACAAAAAGACAACAAAAAGAAAGCAAGAAAGACAGCAGCAAAGAAGGAAAAGAATGAGAAGTTCAACATTGGACACTAGTGAATCATCTTCTGATATCTCTGACAGCAGTACTGACTCAGAAGGACACAACAGAAGGAGACCAGTATACAGTACTGAAGATAAACACGCACCACCTCTAATACTTGATATTACAAATGAAAGAATAATTGGACAGCATGGTGGGGAACTTCTTCTAAATCTGAACAAATTCTATGGAGATTTGGAAACTGATACTCTCACACTACCTGGGATAATTGTTATTGAAACATCAGTAAGTACTTGAAGCCTAAAAAGAGAAAAACTTTGGGTTTAAAAAGTACAGCTAGACTGACTATTGAAATACAATTGTACATTTCTGTCTGACAATGCGTTACACTTGAAACATACCTTTTAAACAAAATTAAGATCATTATCAGTCATGTATTATTAAAGACTAATTTGACAGCACTTGACAAACAAGTCAAGTTAAGTCTTGTTTTGTAAACTTTACAATTTCAAGACACATGCACATACAAATGCACTCATGAACAGTATCATGTTTATTGTAAACACATTAAATTGACCCTGTATCTTCTAGTTAACTTTTTAAGATTGTTTTCATAATAGATAGATTGTAATTACCATATATCATTTTAAATTTTCCTGTCAGGATTCATTCGTGATTTGGGCTTTATGAGAGGAAGTTAATTGAATCTTTATGTAAACAGGTACATGATGCTGAATATGCACAGAGATAAATGTCAAATTTTACTTCAGGCCAAAAAAAAATATATGTCTGTTTACGGTTACCCAACCGACCCTACTTTTGAGCGCCGACCCTAAGTCATTTTATTCTCGTCGTAAAGTGAATGAAGAAACTTGCGACTCATGTGAATAAACACTTTGCAGCCATTTTTTCCAACTAAAAATAAAATGAAAAAATAAAATAAAATGGAAATACCGACCTACCTACCCTATTTTTTTTTATGATGTTACCTTAAACAGACATATATTTTTATTTGACCTTATGTTGTTATTCAATACTACACAATCTAAAAGTATTCTATAAGTTGAAGAACAAAATCTTTACAGTAATAAAGATCATATATACTATTTACTGCATAACATATGTACTTTCATCTGAAGTAAATGATGGGTGGGTGGGAAAAGATACTGCACTGTCAGATAGGCTAACCTTGAATGACAATTCTAGACTACGGATACTATAATTTAGCACTTAAATTCTAGCATGAAATTATCATGATCAGTATTACCTAGACAGGTAATAACTTCCTATTTATCCAATCAAATTAAACATTAACATGTTTTGATGTAAGCACACATTCTTTAAGTAAACAAATTCACATGTCCCAGAGTAACCTTTATTAATACACTTTATATTTGTAGGTTATATTCACCCTCTTAGAAATGTCAAAGAAACATTTAGAAAAGCTGAAAAGTAATGAAGAACTTGACAATCAAGATGAGGCTACAATTTACTATTCACCACCATATGACATTCTCTGTGAAGAATCTCGAAATATCTTGATAGAAAATTTTATGAGACTCAATAATGTAAATGTTTAAATAAAAATTTATATACTTATTTATTGTATTTTAATCTATTGTTGAAAAACAGCATGCCAATAGATTTAATATGGTACCCAAGTGTAGGAGTGAGGGCTATATTGCCATCACCTAATCCGTTAATTTGTCAGTTTGTCTGTCTGTTCGTCAAACAAATATTTTTGTCACACTTTTGTCAAAAACTACTAAACAAAATGACTTAATATTTTGTCAGCAGCTTAACAGTGGTGAGTTATAACATATGAGCAACTTTCAGATCTGTCAAACACCTACTTCCTGTTTGCTGACACTTTGAATTTTTCAATATTTTGAATGAATTTAAAATTTTGTCACACTCTCCTCAAGTACTATTGAACAGAATGACTTCATATTTAGTCAGCAGCTTGACAGTGATGAGTTGTAATGTGTTGATCTGTCAGATGCTTTAATGCTGTTTGCCGAATTTCAAAATGTCAAATGAAATTTTATGTCACACTTTTCTCAAGTACTGTTAAAACAAAATGGTTTCGTTTTCTATGAAATGTTTTGTTATTGTTGTTTATCATTCCGTCCTTTTAATTTTTTGCCATGGTCTTGCTTGTCTTTTTTGGACTTGTGATTTTTAACTTGGTCCCTTCAAGGATCACTATACAAATCCTTGGTCCCTTGTAGTTTTATCTCTCTTTTTCATGGGTTATGATAACCACTATAAAAAAATTTGCATCATTACAGTATAAAATTGTAATGGAACTCTTAAAAGTGGTGTTGGGATCGGGGGTATATTGCAATCTCCTTGTCAGTCAGTTCTTTTTACCAACAAATATTTCCATTCATACTTTTCTTAAGGACCATGGAAAAGAATAACTTCCTTCCTATATCATCAGCAGTTTGACAGTGATTAGCTGTAAAATGTGAGCACTTTCGTTAGCCACTAGGTAAATAATATTACCACTATAGCTATGAACAGAACAAGTTAAAATCATATTTCAATCTGTCTTAATACATTGTACCATAAGACATATCAGGATCCAATATTGGTAAAATATTTGGGTATGGACACCAAACTGGTTAGCTACTATCACCATAATAGAAAATTACCTAACTGAATAAAAGTATTTTGGTTTTCAAGCTTTTTTTTACTGTAACAGACACTCAATGAAAAGGTTCATGACTGGGACAGGCACATGCACTTTTGACCTGTTTAAACAAGTTTTATGAGCACTCAACCCTCTCATTTTATTCCAGCTGTTTAAAGCACTAATGCTAGGGTTGTATCAGATTTCTTCCTACTGTCCCACTGGTGTTTCTGCCCCTGTTCCTGAAATGCTTGACTTACTGTATAAAATATGTACAGAATTTCAAAACAGGAAAAGAAAATCAATTAAAGTTTTGCTTTCATTTGATTTTTGTTTCACATGCGACAATGGTTGCAGTATGCAGAACATAGTGATTTCAATGCGGTGGTGGTGTATACTATTTATATTGAGCTGTATATTTCGAAGGATAGAAGACCTGGAGGCTTCATACTTTGTATACAGATGACTTATGTTAAGAAGTTTTTGTCTGTCATATTTCCGTTGTCCTTGATCTCATTTTCATTGTTCAGCGGCTGTTTGAAAAAAAGTGTATTTCTTGTCATGTGAATTTCTCACTCATTATGATAATAGGATAACTATGTTATGTATATGGGTTCCTTGCAAGGTCTCCATGGCCATCACTCATGTTTCACTTGACCTCGACCTCTTTCATGGATCAGTAATCAAGGTTGAAGTTACATGATAAGATCGTTTCTCAGATATTGTAAGCAGTAAGTCAACTACATTTCATGTATAGAATGATTGTAAGGTGTACATGTCAGTCTGACAGATTTTATCTGACCCTGACCTCATTTTTTTCGGTTTATTGGTCAATGGTATTTTTTTGTCTTTTGGTCTGTTTTTCTACTACTATAAACAATAGGTCAACTTTATTTCGTGTATGGAAAAAAGCAATTTTATAGCTCATATATATATTTGTTGTATGAAATGATTGTAAGGTGTATATGTCTGTCTGGTCGTTTTCGTCTGACCTTGACCTCGTTTTCATGATCCACTAGTAAATGTTAGGGTTCCTTGTTAAGTTTGTTTCTTTAATACTATAAGCAATAGGTCATACTGTAAACCAACTTTTTTCGCGGATAAATAAATAAGCTTTATTTAGAGTCGGCAAGGTATACAAACAGAGACAACATAAGCTCTAATGAGCTTTTTACCGACATACAAGACATTTATAACAATACAACATATAACAATACATTAAATAATACACATGCAATATATTACACAGCATAAAATGAAGCACTAAAAAGCATGATGGTAATAAGCAGAATATAAGCATAAGTTAGGTATTAAAGCTAAAAGCATGCAAGTGTAAACTAGGCATAAAAGCTGGTAAAATGCATAGCATAAAATGTTTTAAAGAAAAAAAAAAGGGGGGTATGATCTAAATGGTAAATAATTTTAGCATAATATATTAACTAAAAATCTGCACAAACTGTGCACTTACAGTCATTTCCATTCCATGACTTTAAAATATTTTTGAACTGACTAAAATTAGCAATTTTTCTAAAATCATCAGGTAGATCATTCCATAAAACAGCAGCTGTGTATTTAAAAGAGTTCTTACCATAGGTATATCTACAATATTAGAATATCTAAAATTATATTTACAATCTTTCAATACAACTAAATCATGTAAACATGGTGGTGACAATTTATATAAAATTCTAAAACATTCAATAGCCATGTTACGCATACGTCTTATTTTCAGTGATGGAACCTTTGCTCGTAAAAGTAGTTCATCATATGAACTAGCATAGTCTTCATATATGAATCGTAAAGCCCTTTCCTGAATTTTTTCTAATTTAGTGGTGTTATTTTTGTTGCAAAAATGCCATGCCAAAGGACAAAAATTAAAATTAGATAAAATAAATGTGTGAAAAATGGTCAATTTATTTAATTTAGTAAGGTTGCAGCCAATGCGCTTTAAAACATTCAGTTGTTGAGATGCTTTACGACAAATATTTTTAATGTGGTGATTAAAATTAAGTTGATAGTCAATATCAATACCTAAAAGTTTGACAATCTCATCACAGGATAATTTTGCTGACTGTATATTAAAACAGGCTTTTTTGCAAATGTTTAATTTATTTCGCGTTAAGTTTTTTCTATTCCTATTCGCGGCGATTTAATTTCGCGATTTTCAAATTTACTTGATGTAGGAAGACAAGGAAAGATCCAGGTTTTACGTTTTCGCGACGATTTATATTGGCATTATTTTTCTTCTCGTGAAAGTCGCGACGCCAAAAGGAAAATCAATACACAAATGTACGACTTGAGATATTGTCAATTTATTGACTAACACAGTAAAATGCCAAGTAATATTATCGTAAAACAGGAAGAGAGAGCGTTAATGTTAGATGTCAAACGCACATCGGAAAACCGTTTTCGGAATATGAAACTACCTGGCGCAATCGCTTTTTATACGACTGCAAACAAAGTTTGCGGTCGTATATTGGTATGAAGTTGGCGTCGTCGTCGTCGTCGTCCGAAGACACATTGGTTTTCGCAGAATAACTTTGGTTTAAGTAAATGGATCTCTATGAAATTTTACCATAAGGTTCAATACCACAAAAGGAAGGTTGGGATTGATTTTGGGGGTCATGGTACCAACAGTTAAGGAATTAGGGGCCAAAAATAAACATTTTTGTAACTTCCAGACAATAACTTGTGTGTTAGTTTATGGATCTCTCTGACATTGTACCACAAGGTTCTATATCAGAAAGGGAATGCTGGGATTGATTTTGGGGATAATTGCTCAAAACATATAGGAATAAGGGGCCAAAAATAAGCATTTTTCTAGTTTCCAGACAATAACTTGTGTCCAAGTGTATGGATCTCTCTGAAATTGTACTGCAAGGTACCATACCACAAAAGGAAAGCTGGGATTGATTTTGCTGGTAATTGTCTCAAAATTTTAGGAATTAGGGGCCAAAAAGGGGCAAAAAACAAGCATTTTTCTAGTTTCAGGACAATTACATGTACTTGTGTGTAAGTGTATGGATCTTTATTAAATTGTACTACAAGGTTCCATATCACAAAGGGAAAGCTGGGTTTGAGTTTTGGGGTAATTGCCCTAAACGTTTAGGAATTTGGGGCCAAAAAGGGGCCACAAAACAATCATTTTTACTAGTTTCCAGACAATAACTTGTGTTCAAGTGTATGGATCTCTCTGAAATTGTACTGCAAGCTACCATACCACAAAGGGAAGGCTGGGATTGAGTTTGGGGTGATGAATCATAAGGGGGTTCAAAATTGGGGGGGTTTCCTTTTTTTCCTTTTTTTTTCTTTAAAATTTTCCATTTTAAGTTGGTTATTTTTTATTTATTATATATAAAAGCAAATAATAATGATAAGGTTTGATTTCATCAAAAATTGAAATATTGGGGTTCTTTGAGATGCTGAATCTAACCGTGTATTTAGATTCTTAATTTTTGGTCCCGTTATCAAATTGGTCTACATTAAGGTCCAAAGGGTCCAAAATTAAACTTAGTTTGATTTTAACAAGAATTGAATTCTAGGGGTTCTTTGATATGCTGAATCTAACCGTGTATGTATCTAGATTTTGGATATTGAACCATAATAGGTAAATTAAATTTTTTTAAGTTCTTAGACCACATTCATTCTGTGTCAGAAACCTGTGCTGTGTCAAATACTTAATCACAATCCAAATTCAGAGATGTATCAAGCTTGAATGTTGTGTCCATACTTGCCCCAACTGTTCAGGGTTCGACCTCTGCGGTCGTATCAAGCTGCGCCCAGCGGAGCATTTTATTTCTATTTATTTTTACACAATCATAAACACCTTCACAGGGTAGACTGCCGTCTAGTGTTGGGGATTATCCTGCCCCATACAATAAAACTGAAAAAAATTAACTGTTCTATATACATTTAGGAATCTCTCTATTACACTCAGTATATTACATAGTCGTTGAATTTTTTC